CTGCTGCCCCCGCGACCCGACCCAGGATAGGCGGAAGAAGATGGATGGATGGATGGATGGATGGATGGATGGATGGACATCATTTACCTGCACAAACTGTTTACTGTTTTCCAGATAACTAGATACCCACTGTAGTGCTGGACCTCTTATACCATATTTATTTAACTTTTCAAGAAGAATGGTGTGGTCAATGGTGTCAAAAGCTTTCTTTAAATCAACAAAAACACTAACACAATACTGTTTTTGGGTCAACAGCAGTTGATATTTGTTCAATTAAGTCCATGAGCACCATTGATGTCAAATATTTAGCATTAAACCCATATTGACTGCTACTTAAGATAATCTGTTAATTAATAAATAAATCKAATCTTGTCACAAATAATTTTTCCAAAATTTTTGAAAACTGTCGTAACAAGGAAATTGGCCAATAATTTGTAAACACGCTTTGCGCTCCATTTTTATAGAGAGGTATTACCTTGGCTACCTTCATGTTGTCTGGAAATACCCCAGTTGAAAATGATAAATTACATATGTAAATGGCWCAATGACATAGTCCATTATAGCCTTTACAAACATCATATCCATGTTCACCCAGTCTTTTGATCTTTTGTTTGCAAGATTTTTTTTACAATATTCATTATTTCTTCTTTGTCAGTTCCATCAAGAAAAATACTGTTGGTACAGCCCATGACTGTATGACTCACATTTTTATTTACTTTTGGTATTTTAGCTGCAAGACTTGGACAAACATTCACAAAATAATGATTAAATCCATTTACAATTTCCTTCAGATCATGTATTTCATTGTCTTCCTTTACAAAGTACTGTGGACTGCCTAAATTGATTTTATGATTTTTCAGAACACCATACATTACTCGCCATGTTGCCCTCATATCACCATTACTTCTATTTAATAAATCACTGTAATATTCCTTCTTATGCTTTCTTATAGTACACACCAACTTGTTTTTATACGTCTTGAATCTCTCTTCTGATTGTTTCGTTCCAGTGGCGGATCTAGAAAAGTTTCCATGGGGAGGGGGGCAAAGGGGAGGCAAAAGCTCTAGGCAGGATAGCAATGCAGGATCACTTCACTGAAGTACTGTACAAAAGAAATTTCCTATATCTAAATAGAGTCAACAAAACATCCATGAAAACACTTTGAAACACTATTTATTGTCCTTTTTCTCTTCTAAGAAACAAAGATTATATAT